CCCCCATGACACACATTCTCCCTGAGCACACATTCCCCCCAGCATACATTCCCCGCCACAGCACACATTCCCCCGCAGCACACATTTCCCCCCAGCACATACTCCCCCCAAGCGCACATTGTCCCCCAGCACACATTCCCCCAGAGCACACATTCTCCCCATGGCACACATTCCCCCCCCACCACGGCACACATTCCCCTCCATGGCGCACATTCCCCCCCATGACACACATTCTCCCCGAGCACACATTCCCCCCAGCATACATTCCCTGCCACAGCACACATTCCCCCGCAGTACACATTTCCCCCCAGCACATACTCTCCCCAAGCGCACATTGTCCCCCAGCACACATTCCCCCAGAGCACACATTCTCCCCATGGCACACATTCCCCCCCCCCCCACAGCACACATTCCCCTCCATGGCGCACATTCCCCCCCACGGCACACATTCTCCCCCAGCACACATTCCACCCGCAGCACACATTCCCCCAGAGCACACATTCCACCCCCAGCACACATTCCCCTCAGCACACATTCCCCCCAGCACACATTCCTGCCCAGCACACGTTCCCCTGGAGCACACATTTCCCCCAGCACACATTCTCCCCCAACACACATTTACCCCAAGTGCACATTCTCCCCCAGCACACATTCCCCCAGAGCACACATCCCCCCCCCAGGCACACATCACCCCCCAGTAGCAGCTTTGTTAGGAACACCCCAGGATGTGGACTCTCTCCTCTTCTCTTGGCCTTCCTTCCTGTTCTTCACTGCCTTCCTCTGCTCCAGAGGAGCAAGTCTGTGACAGGAGGAACTGAGCAGGAAAGCCTCCTGTTTCCTGTAAGGTCTGACCTGGGGCCAAGGTTACTGACTTTAGCAAAATCTGAAATTGCCACTGCTTTGGTTTTTGGGTTTTTTGGCCTTCATTCTTGGGGCACTGGCCTGACACCTAAGTCACTCAATCTTCATCCTGTACATCCCCCATTACTCCCCCAAGGCGTCGATAATAAGGTTTCCTGGGTGTCTCTGATGGAGCCCTGGTGGTGCAGTGGTTAAGCACCTGGCTGCTAATGAAAAGGTCTGCAGTTTGGACCCAGCAGCCGCTCTTTAGGAGAAAGATGTGGCAGTCTGCTTCCGTAAAGATTACAGCCTTGGAAACTCTCTGGGGCAGCTCTACTCTGTCCTGTAGGGTCTCTGTGAGTCAGAATCGACTCGATGGCAGCAGTTTTGGTTTTTTCGTCTGATGAAGAGGAGACAGTGGGGTTCCCCAGGCAAAGTCAGGGTCAGGGATGCAATCACACTCAGGAGGTGTGCTACTGGCCTGGGGCCGTTGACGAGCAGTGGCCTGCTGGGGGCTGATAGGGCACAGAAGACTCACACCCTGGGTGGTGGGTACGCTGAGCCACATGCGTGAGATTAGCCATCAGAGAGAGGGACTGGAGGGCCAGCCAGGCCTGGGGATGGGCCAGGAACTGGCCAGCAAGTAAAGCAAATCCCTTATTCTTTATTTCTCTTTCTCTCTTGGTCTTTGGCTCCCTGACTCCTCCTCTTCCCTGTTCCTCCTCTGCCCCTTCCCTCTCCTCTCGCCTTTATGAGGGCTGTGAGGGCACTACTTTGATTATCCTCTGCCTTACTGTCTAAGTCATCTAGTGCTGCTATAACAGAAATACCACAAGTGGATGGTGTTAACAAAGAGAAGTTTGTTCTCTTACAGTCCAGTAGGCTACAAGTCCAAATTCAGGGCGTCAGCTCCAAGGGAACACTTTCTCTGTCGGCTCTGGAGGAAGGTCCACGTCATCAGTCTTCCCTTGGTCTGGGAGCTTCTCTGCGCAGGAACCTCAGGTCCAAAGGATGCGCTCTGCTTCCGGCACTGCTTTCTTGATGGTATGAGGTTCCCATGTCTCTGCTCGCTTCTCTTTTTTATATCTCAAAAGAGATTGGCTTAAGACACTATCTAATCTTGCAGACCTCATCAGTATAACTGCTGCCAATCCATTTTATTACATCATAGTGATAGAGTTTACAACACATAAGGAAATCACATCAGATTACAAAATGGTACACAATCATACAATACTGGGAATCATGACCCAGCCAAGTTGACAGATATTTTGGGGGGACACAGTTCAATCCATGACACTTACTAAACTGTGAAAGGATCCCCATAACCTGTCCTAGGGTAAAATCACCACAAAGTTACAGTAAAGCAAAGAGAAAGATTTTATTCAGCATATGTTCAAAACGGCAAAAGTAGGAAATGGACAAGGATGCTTCCAGAGTCCGAGGAATATTACAGAATAGGCAAAAGTGGGAAAATAGACAAGCATGCTGCCAGAGCCATGTCTGTCCGAGTCTGAGGAACGTTACAGAATCATCAGTACATTACAAATGGGTAAAATCATCGATGGCTTCACCTTTTCACAGATTGGCTAAAAACTGCCCTCATCGCCGTGATTCTACATTTTGATTTGTTTTTCATAGTAATTATTGGTACAGATTTCAGTAACAATAGTCAGAAGGGTCTTCATTGGTCCAACAAATCTTACTAACTAAATGCTAATAGAACAAGAGCGGAAAGTCTGTGGGTCTTTTGTGCTCTGTTTATGTGAAAGGTTCCCTGAAAGATGTTTTGCAAGATTGTCTTAGCTATTGTCTTTATACCTTAGGGCCTAGTTGATGTGTGCTTGTGAGTCCAGCTCCAGCTGGGACACATTTCAGGACAGGGAATAATGGCTCCAATATTATCTCCTAAATCAAACCCTTAATCTTGGAGTCTGACCTGTTGCCATGGAGTCGGTTCCAACTCATAGCGACCGTATAGGACAGAGTAGAACTGCCCCATAGGGTTTTCAAGGCTGTAATCTTTATGGAATCAGACTCACATCTTTCTCTTGTGGAGCGGCTGGTGGGTTCAAACCGCTCACCTTTTGGTTAGCAGCTGAGTGCTTAACCACTTTGCCACCAAGGCTCCTTATTTTGGCATCTAGATCAGTCCAAGCTTTTCCTTTTATAGAGAGGCTACTGAGGCCCAGAGAGAGGCAGTGCCTTGCTCAAGGTCACACAGCAAGGAGGAATTAGGATTCAGTGTTTTGAATTGCAGACCAGGCACTAACCCAGTTCTCCAACAAAGACATCTCTTTAGGCCTGTTGGGACTTCCAAGTGGGAGGGCCTGGGCTCCTCCCACTCTACCCCTGGCCAAGCCTAGCAGTGTCACCTGAATAAATCACATCCTCACTGAGCTCACAGCTCAAGTCTTCCCAGCCTAGCCTTGGACGTTGTTGCTGTTGTTAGCTGTTGTTGAGTTGGCCCTCAACTCATGGTGACCCCGTGCACAATGGAATGAAACAGTGCTCGGTCCTGCACCTTCCCCATTACTAGTTGCTAATCAAACCATTGTGATCCATAGGGTTTTGATTAGCTACTTTTTGGAAGTAGATCACCAAGTCTTTCTTCCTAGTCTGTCTTAGTCTGTAAGCTCTGCTGAAACCTGATCAGCATCATAGCAACACACAAGCCTCTACTGACAGATGGGTCGTGGCTGTGCATGAGGTCCATTGGCTGGGAATTGAACCCAGTCTCCCCCACGAAAGACGAGAATTCTGCTGCTGAACCTTAACCAAAATACCAAACCAAACCAGTTGCCGTCAAGTCAATTCCAACTCATGGTGACCCCATGTGTAGCAGAGTAGAACTGCACTCCGTAGGGTGGGCTGGGCAAAATGCCACTGTTCTGTGAGGTCAGGCTCATAGCTCAATCACTTCAGGGGTCCTTGCACTTGATTCTAAGCCTGGGCAGAAGAGGCATCAATGCCTGTTGAACGCCCAGGCTGAGAATGCGAGTCAAATGCCACATGTGGAGATTGAGTGAGCGGAATTCTCTGTTTGGCCCACCACGTTTCTCCTTTCTTGACAGCGTTCTCCTCCTGTTCTGTTTTTCAGATTTCTCTACACCAGCGCCACGCTCACCATAGCCTTTACTTCTGCAGGTGAGTTCCGTCAGCCGGGTGGGAGGGCGGAGTTGGGAGTGGAGCTCAGGGGCACCTGGTGGGTGGGACAGGTGATGGGCAGGACACATTGCCCCCCGCCCCCCGGCTTTGTGGTTATTCAGAGAACCACTGACTTTGCCTAGCTGGAAAGAGTCATCAAGAGACTGAGTTATTCCTGGTCTGTGAACACAATTTAGTCAGTTGGGAAATGTGGAAAACAAGTACAGGGAGGGGGGTTTCTTCAGAGTAAATTGATTCGGAAGTTAATACATGACTAAGAAAAAAAAATTGGGCGACATCGATAATCAAGAACCTGGTTTAACAGAAGAACTAGATGGTGCCTGGCTACCACCAATGACCGCCCTGACGGGGAACACAACATAGAGTCCCTGATGGAGCAGGAGAAAGTCGGCTGCAGAACTCAAATTGTCGTAAAAAGACCAGACTTAATGGTCTAACTGAGACTGGAGGATCCCCAGAAAGCATGGCCGCAGACTCTCTGTCAACCCAGCACTAAAACCATTCCCGAGGCCAACTCTTCAGACAAAGATTAGACTGGACTATGGGACATAAAATGATGCTCGTGAAGAGGGTGCTTCTTAGCTCAAGTAGATACGTGAGACTAAATGGGCAGCTTGTGTCCGGAGGTGAGATGAGAAGGCAGAGAGGGTCAGGAGCTGGTTGAATGGACACGGGAAATCTGGTGGAAAGGAGGAGTGTGCTGTCAGAGTATAGGGAGAGCAATTAGGGTCACATAACAATGTATGTATAAATTTCTGTATGAGAGACTAACTTGAATTGTAAACTTTCACTTAAAGTACAACAATTAAAAAAAAAAGGGATCTGGTTTAAGCATTCACCATTGCTATGGTATATTTAAAGGTTATTCTCCTAAGGCAAAAATACTACACTTTTTAAAGCATCAGCAAAAAAAGAGGAAGACCCTCAACAAGACGGATAGACACAGTGACTGCAATAATGGGCTCAAACATAGCAAAGATTGTGGGGATGGTGCGGGACCGGACAGTGTTTCATTCTGCTGTGCATGGGGTCACTATGAGTCGGAATCGACTTGCTGACACCTAACAACAACATTGTACTTTTGGTAATTGCTTCGTTTTGCATTATACTATGGACTTGCTGGATATTCAGAGGACTGAAATTTGCTCAAAGTAGAAATAACAATGGAGATAATTAGAAAGTTGTAATGTTACTATATTATAGTAACACATGGGGACGATTATAAGGACAAGTACAAATGGAAAATAAAAGGGTAAATTCCCCTGGTGAAGACAGAGGAAGGAGCTCCCCTCCTCTACTGCCCTATTTAGAATTCACTTTAGATACGTTGTAAATTCTTTGCCTTTCTGAAAAATCTGTAAATGTAACTTCAGGCAATTCTTCTCTACCTTCCTGTTTTTTTCTTTTTTTTATATTTTATTGTACTTCAGGTGAAGGCTTACAGAACAAATAGTTTCTCATGAAACAGTAGTACACATGTTTTATGACATTGGTTAACAACCCCACAACGTATTAACCCTCTAAATTCTCAACCTTTTTTTTTT